AATGCCTTTGTTTTCTTCATTTTGGAAGCCATTTGCATTTTTTATATTTCAAATTTAATGGATGCAAAGATATTCTAATTAATAAAAAGTATAATGCGTAAAAATTTATACAACATGCAGCAAAAATAAAGTGCAAAAATCAAACAATGCCGCTAAATTTATTGTTTTGAAATCGCGATCCGCGAGCTTTAAACATGCTCAAAATTTTGTTTTTTTATTATTTTTTTAATTACAATTCTAAGTTCGTTATAAGCATAGTATTTTTAATAGATTTTATCATTTTGGGACCCGAAATAGGTTCGTTTTAGGGGTAGTTCGTTATTCTAAAAATCGCAAAGTTCGTTATAATGATGGTATTTTCAATGGAATGGAATTGGGAATCGGCGTGGGTTCGTTATAAGGGAAGGTTCGTTATAGCGGGGTTTTACTGTATGTTTATTATGATGCATTAGCATGCCATCTGTTATCAAATGAGCCAGGCCCTCCCATTATTTTTTTCCATTGCAGTAAGGGCAGTAGAAATTGTTTATTTTTAAAAAGAATCGTACACGTCTATAATAGTTTCTAATCTGAACAATGTAGATGATAACTTATCATTATATCTTGCCTCCACTCACATCAAGGATCATTAATCCTTTACAGAAAAAAAAAAGTAAACAAAATCAATAAATGTGAATATTGACAAATAGAAAAAATTGACATGCCCCTAATTAGAAGATGCTATTCCTATGCTGTAATAGTCAACAATCTAGTAACCCAGACAATAAAACCATAATTTATCAAAATGGGTAATGGATATATCCTTCTTCTTTCTTATCTTTATTCAATCATATTAGGGTATAAAGCTTGTAGAGCTTGAGACTTGACAACCATCATGACTTGGTGATCAAAAAGAAGGAGGGGGAGCAGTAACAAGCTCGCTAAAAAACCTGGGTTCAGCTGGCCCGGCTGATAGTACCCTGTAAGGGCTCCTAATCTAGGAATACAGGATGAGCAGCGTTTGTACTCCATGTTAGGAGCGGCTGCACTTGGCGTCTGTTCCTCATGTCAGAGGCGGCCATTTCTTTTGGAGCTAAGTCGGCTTGCCACTGAGTAGTGCTCCCAGTCTTAATGACAAAGGCAGACGCATTCTACTTCACCCAGTCATGATGGTTGTCAAATACCATCAAGGGTCACAACTTAATACCCTAATGATTGAGTGGAGATAAGAAAGAAGAAGAAGAAGATGACTTGGTGAAGTAGAATGCGTCTGCCTTTGTCATTAAGACTGAGAGCACGACTCAGTGGCAGGCTGACTTAGCTTCAAAAGAAATGGCCGTGGGTAAATCCATTTAAGACAAATTGGTTGATACCATTCTTCATAATAATTAATAAAGAAATAATTGTATACAAAACTATATCTAAATGACATTGTGTGTGATAAATATATTCTCATAAATCATGTCTAATTTTTATCTGCATAGAATAAAACTTAATTGTAAAAAGTTCTAAATGTACACGAATATTTTATTATATATTTAGGGCATAACTATTTGTTTTACGAATATGTCAAATAATATTCTCTTAATATATATGTATAAATATTTTGTATTAATAT